TTTTGGCTTTCCAAGAATGACCGGACAAGCCTGATCTCTTTGGAATCAAACAAAGAATTGACTTTGATAAGGTTAAGGGTTTCCCAGTGCCAAGGGTTGCTCTTTCAATTCCTTATTCTTTCTTTCAATCCCCTCTCTCAGAGTATACGGCTATCCGCATGCGCGAAACGAGAGAGAACGAAACGGTTCCAAATGAGTGCGTCCTTTTCTAGATAGAATTACCCCCACTCCTCAAATTTCCGACAATGCGTACTCTAGTACTACTATCTCTATGGTCCGGCCTAGAGTCCTAGATATCAGAGAAGCGCAACCGATGTTCCGCGTCCTGATTAGCTGACTGTCAGCTAATCATGACATTCATTCAGTGGTATTAAAAATGGCTGACTAATAGACGATTGGTGGATTTCATATTTCGTCTGCAAACGACGCCATTTTTAATACTTTTCTTAGTAATTTTGCGATACTGACCTAAGCCGGTTGCGCTTCTCTGATATCTAGGTCTCTAGGCTGCACCAGTGCAGGGTGATTGTATGTATACCAGTTCATCTTTTTTTCCTTTTCCCTTCTCCTGGAGAGAATAGGAAGAAAGATGAACTAGTGCAAAAGTTCAGCAATAAAGAACAGACCTATTGTCTGAATGGGCGCATCAGGGCGCATTCAGCGGACTCAACAGTTGAGTGAGCGCTAGCTGTTATTGGTGTATTCTTTTGGATCATCCAATCAGAATTTTGGATCTAGAAGAATACATCATTAACAGCGAACGCTCACTCAACTGTTGAGTCCGCTGAAATCACCCAAGTTGCATTGGTACAGCCAGGAAGTAAGATATAAGGAGACTCCACTCCGTAAAATAAAAGTGGACCCATTTTAGGTTTCGAGTTCAGCTTCCGATTCTGATGAGTGCGAGTAAGAGAAATGATCATTTCTCTTACTCGCACTCATTATGCGCAGCACTACTAAATTCACGAGCGCTGCGAGTGTCGAGAATCGGAAACGGAACTCGAAACCTAAAATGGGTTCATGTCTTGTAGACTGGCGAGACCGAGTGGAGTCTCCTTATATCTTCCTTCATGGGTACAACCTAGAGTTTGGAGCTCGTCGGAGCTCGGAACGTCGGAACAGTCCCGTGTATCGTTATATGGGCCTTCTACAATAAGAGCCCCAACCCCCAACACACACTTTTGCATAATGCATAAAGCATGTGCATAAGGAATTTCATTGGTCCATTGACTCATGCATAAGAAAATGGACCAATGAAATTCCTTATGCACATGCTTTATGCGTTATACAAAAGTCTGTGCTCCCCGCTTAAGAAACTAAAAATTGACGACTGTGATTGGTCCATTTCTAGCTTATGACTTATGATTTGTGACTTAAGGTACTTTTTCATGCGCAGCACGCTGCAGCAGCAATTCGTTACTATTGGTTAAGAATTTTATGTAAGCTAGATGACGCACGTCCGGCGCAAAATACATTTTGCCGCAGTTCGTTGAAGTTGAACCGAACGAACAGCAAGCAGCAAGCGGCAAAATCGAGGCAATATTATTTATTGCAATAAATATTAGGAAAATTAACGAAGAATGGCTTCGGATAAGGTACGAATGTTTGTAAATTAGATCATTTTATACTTTACACTTTACTTTTTCAAATTTGTGGTAAAGTATAAAATGATCTAATTTACAAACATGTATCCGTACCTTATCCGAAGCTATTTTTCGTTTATTTTCCTAATATTTATTGCAATAAATAATATTTTTATAATGAAACGACGGACATATTGTACGCTTTCTCGATTTTGCCGCTTGCTGCTTGCTGTTCGTTCGGTTCACTTCAACGAACTGCGGCAAAATGTATTTGCGCCGGAAGTACGTCATCTAGCTTACATAAAATTCTTAACCAATAGTAACGAATTGCTGCTGCAACGTGCTGCGCATGAAAAAGTACCTTTACGGCTTATTGTAGAAGGCCCATTTTATCCAACGTGTTTGGACAACAAGGATAAAACGATATATGGGAGCACTCGGGTGATGTTTTTTGAACGCTGCCCAAGATAGAAGTTTGACTCCCCTGGGTTGAACGCGACCATTGTTGACAGTAAACCGCGTGATAACGATTAATCTCCATTTCCTTCGATCGCCGTGGCAGCTTTCGCTGCGCTTCCCTGTAAATTGAAACATCTACTCGAAATGAAATAAATCTTTATACGTGTATCCAATCCCTCGCGTTTCGAAGAGAAAAGAGAATCGAGAGGAAAGGAAAATTTGACGGCAGTTGAACGCAGCTAATTGTGAGAAACGTATATACGGCGAATCCGTAGATATAGATATCTATATGCTTCGACGGGAAGCAACGGAATACGGAAAGCGATAAAATTGTGGAATGGTCGGACGAAGGGAAGAGGCAATGTAGGAGGTGTGCGCGATTAACGTTAGGAAGCGGATAGATCGTTGTTCTTCGCGTTGGTACAGTCATTCCCAGCGGCGGAGCTCCAGCTGGCCACCGCTCAGTGAGATACCGAGCGCCCAAATGTCAGACAGCTCTTGACGGCGGGGGGCCGAGGAGTGGGAATGTGACCGGGCGCAGCATCTCTCGGTGGAGTTTGAATTTCCTCAGCGAATCGCGTCCGGCCGCGCGAATCGTGCAACGATGGAGAATCAGCAGGTACGTGGAGAGTCCTCGTGGAGGAGGCCCGAGTTGCCAGGATCGGTGAACCCGAGATTCTTCTCTCTCTCTCTCTCTCTCTCTCTCTCTCTCTCTCTCTCTCTCTCTCTCTCTCATGCTATGACTCATTCTGTCTTTATGAGGGTGTTATGAGATGATGCTTCATCCGCACGTTCGCTTTCTCCCTTCTGCTCCCCTTTCACTTTGTAGGTGAGAGCGTTGTACGATTTCACGGGCGAGTCGGGAACAGCGGAGCTGTCAATCACTGCCGGCGAGCTTCTGACTGTCATACGGGACAACGTAGGTGATGGCTGGTGCGAGGGATTTAATCAGAGCGGCCAGTCAGGACTGTTCCCAGCGGCGTATGTCCAAGTGGTACAAGTCGACCAAGTTGCGCCTTCTTCCAGTACGTTAGATAATTTTATTTAAGAGAACACACACACACACACACACACGCGTGTGTCAATTGATATTCAAGAAAAATGATAAATGCCTTATCGAGTCAGAACACTGGTTGTTCTGTATGAGTTGAAATGATGCTTTATTGTATCTAGATACAAATAGAATAACAACGTTTCGATCCAAATTCGGATCCTTTTCAGGTCTCAAAGTACATATAATAAATTAAACTTGTTAACATTGTGCTCCCTAGAACACTATACATTAAGAATAAATTAATAATAATTCTAAGACAATATAATACATTACATATATATTGAATTACTTACATGTAACTCACAGTGTTCTGACTCGATAAGGCATTTTTATCATTTTTCTTAAATTCAAACGAGTCTATTTTATTAAGTTATATTTTTATATCAATTGATATTCATTATTGCAGTCTATTTTTGTCGTACGTCAATACAGTATGATTATACCTGATAAAAGATAAGCGAATAGCTTTGGAAAATTACGTTATGTCATTGATATCTGTAACTAGTTCGCTCTATTTACTGTTGCATTCCAGCAAGAAACACAATATAATGCAATGATCATGTTATCTTTGTTTAACATTGATAAATAATAAAAATGTGATGATTCACTGTAGGTGTTTTCCTATAAGAATACAGTGCATTGTATTGTTATTTGTCAGCGTTAAACAAGATTGAAGTGATACACTGTGTTACATTGTGTTCTTGCTGGAAAACATTCTGTGTTACAATTATCATCTATGCTCTTGCTGGAAAGCACTGTGTTATGTCAGAGGATAGGCACAGTGGATTCAGTCATAAGGCTGGTATTCATAGTCAGTTCTTATATTCAAGACCGTCTTAAGTTCAGTCTTGAAGAGTTACGAACCAATCAGAGGGCCGCTTTAGCATCTTAAGACATTACTTAAGGCAGTCTTGAAATGAGAACAGACTATGAATACCGGCCATAGACCCCAATATTGAGATCAGGGCAGAATGATTTTCTCTTTTATAAAAACTACTGCATGTTTATTAGGAATAAAAATATCTTTGCTTTACTCTCGTCTTTTGTTACTGAATATTTCAACGTGTTACACTTTTGACAGACAGATTGCTCTCAAGCATAGAGTCCTGTAATTCAAATTGAGAGACCTGATCTCTCCAGTTTGTTTATATCCTTTCCTTATTTCCGGATATCCTTGCTAACGAGTGCCTTCTAACAGCCTTCCCGGTACTCAGTCGAGATAACATCATCCGCTACTTAATCATATAATTTTGTTAACTTTCGAGTTTATTGTTATGCTGTGTGATCACGACGCTTGTAACAACTGTATATATTGTATGTGTAGATACTATGACATCATCCCAACAAAGTTCAGGAGATTATTGGGATGATGATTGGGACGATGATTCCGAAGTTGGACAAACGCAGGCTTATGTCCCATCTACGCAGCAGCAGCCACAAATGATATCACTGTCGCAACAGAATAACGTCAGCGACCATGGAGATCCAGTGTCCATGCACACTATACATTCTGTGATACCCGAGAGACCTATACCAAATGCACCAAAGAAAAACAATAAGTTTTCTACGTTAATCAAGTCGGGCGAAGATAGTTTTCTGCTGGGTGTCAAAATGGTAACTGTGCCTGACAGCGAGAAAATTTTTATAGAAGAAGGAGAGGGTAATCGATGCACGTGGTTACCAACTGGTGAATCCTACAGTTGCGTCGTCACATCGCCCAAAAAGGAGTCCAAACTGAAAGGTCTCAAAAGCTTCATCGTCTACCAGTTAACTCCTACGGTAATAGGAAATCATCTTTTTCATCTATTATTTATAGATATCTATTCCTAATATTAATATTTATATCATAGTTCAATAATATACAAGTCTCGAGGAGATATAAGCATTTTGACTGGCTGCACGAACGCTTGGAAGAGAAGTATTGCTTTATTCCGATTCCGCCGCTACCTGACAAACAGATATCGGGACGCTACGAGGACGCGTTTATCGAGCACCGACGTACGCAATTACAGGAGTTCGTCGATTATGTCTGTCGACACCCCGTGTTATCGCGCAGTCGTGTCTGGGAGCATTTTATCACCTGCACGGATGAGAAGCGATGGAAAGCGGGGAAACGGCAGGCAGAGAAGGATGAGTTATTAGGAGTGAATTACTTCAATGCTATTCAGTGTCCGGACGCACCACTGGACATCATAAAGATGGAGCTCCAGACAGATGCCTTTAACAGATTTATCAGCGGTCTGGATCCAGTGGTGAAGAACTTCATGGCTATGGCGGTCGATCAGGCGAAGAAACATCAAGTATTATACAAGAGAGAGTTTCAAAAGATCAGTCAATCGTTCACGTCACTCAGCCACGCTCTGGAGGCGGACGACAACGGCCGCGGTAGATTGACACGTGCATTGAAAGCGACCGGTGACGCTTATAACGATATCGGTAAACTGTACGAAGAACAGCCGAAGTTCGATTGGGAGCCGTTATCCGATAAGTTCCATATTTATCGCGGTATTATCAGCAGCTTTCCCGACGTCACCAGCATTCATAAGGTATTTCGCGGCGTGCGTTAATCAGCGTGTTATGTTTGAACAAATCAATTCAATACACCGTCTTGTTTCTCTCGTAGAGCGCCATGCAAAAACGAAGGGATTGCGAGCGACTGGTCAGCGAGCATAAAATGGAGCCGCAGCAATTACGCGATCTTTCCCATCGGACGGATGTGATAGCTCGTGCGCTGATCGCCGAGGAGACCCACTTCCAGACGGAACGGGAAGTGCATGTAAATAAGGCCGTAAGGACGCATCTCACGGAACAAATCGCTTTCTATCAGAAAATAGTTGATAAATTACGGGAGGCGTTAAATACATTCGACGGATAATATTTATAATTGCCACAATCTGCCTAAAAGTAACATAATCCGGCCGCTTTAAGGCCGACACCGATGCTAGCTAAAAAAGATATCTCAGTCATAATAAGGAAATGCATACAGTGAAATATTGTACATACATTAGGTTCTAATCTATTTGAATCAGCACAGTCATAATTGAACGTTAAAGAATATCAATACAGCTGTGCATAGCCGCCAAGTATTTATGAAGCGATTAAGTAATCTTGTCAAGATTCGGTATATGGCTCGAATTGATAAATTACGCGATGATCATTGATAAATTTTCAGCAATTGTAATATCTTTTACATTCACATTAATTTTTGTAATACTTAGAGTTTACTGCACTCCAATATTTTTAAAATTAATGTATTTCTTTGCAAAATTTCAATTCTATTCGAATAAAATCGAAAAACAATCTTCAATATTGTAGTAAATAAGCAAATAAATCAAGCAAGATCGGCGCTAATAATTACAGATTATTTTTCTCACATAAATTAATTAAATATTGTACAAGTTTAAATGTTTTCAACCTTGATTTCTCTTCTATCCGAATATTTCTTATATAAGTGATGAATTCTCTTAAAAAAAAGCGGCGTAATATATTGTGTTGCCATTAAATTGTCGTGTATGTTATACAAATTTGAATTTTGTAACTCGACTTTATTATAAAATCACAAAATGTATTGCAACTTGAATTATTATAATTATAATAATCCTTTGTAATTAGATATATTCATATCCGTGCTGTGCAGCAATAAGTTGACAATCTGATTGTGTATTGTCCGTTGATTCATGTTTCGTCCATTGACATGAAACAATTGAGAAATAGGAGCACACGAGATTGCTCGTAATTTTTTGTACTGGTATGTACACACTCACTTGTGTTATTATTTTTAAATAAAGTAATTAAAATCAAAAGAATTATATATTACACGCGCGCGCGCGTGTGGTGTCTGATGAAGGTTGTAATAACGCTGAAAGAGTAGATTCCTGAGAATCATTTTGAGCTGAAAATCTTAATACCAAAGTCGAGTTAAAATTATAATAATTATATAACTATAATGATTTCGAATTATAAGCATTTAAAGTTAGCGAATCATATCGTCTAAAGTTCGCGCGTTTTGTATTGTAAATGAAATTCTTAAACGTGCAAACTTTAAATGATGATTCACTAATTTTAAACGTTTACTCATTTAAGGATTGAGTAAAAAGATTTAATAATTTAAAGCCTTTTAATATCTCGATATTGGGATTTTCGTCTCGAAATGATCGCAGGAATCTACTGTTAAACATTATTACGATCTTTATAAGTGCTCGAAATATTTTAGTCGTAATATATAAGATGAAAAGACCAGAATTGTTTAATGAGCAGCTAAATAAGAAAAGGGCAATGTAAAAGTCTGTTTTTATAAGATTTTAATGTTTATACTTAATATTCATTATTTTCCACTGCAAAATGAAAAAAATGTAAATCGCGTATGCAACATTATGAGAAGCAAAAGATGAATTATCTGTGCGTAATGTTTCTGTAGGGTGTTCTAAAAACAGTTTTTATATGTACGTTTAAAAAAACTTACATATAAAACGCTTTATCATTTGTATAAAATGTATTATTATTTGTACGATTGTGACACGAAAAACTTTACATTTTTTAAAAATAGAAAAATACACATGTAGAGAAAAATAACAAAATATAAGACACGCTACATTATTGTTCGCATTGAAATAAATGAAATGTACAAATAACAGAGCTTACATGTGTAATATTGATATATGATGCACAAGTGTCACATGTCAATTTTTATAAACGATCTGTAACAATTTGTAACAATTGTCAGCGAGAAAGTAATCATTCCTTCTTTTGGTAAGGAGTGCTAATAAATGACTATGTTGAGTCAAGAATTAAATATTATTTATTATTTTATCACATTCTCAATTAACTACCATATAAACAATGTTCGGTACCGTTTCCTATCATTGCCCACGCCTTTTTAAAATTCAATTTCATTAACAAAATATCTCTTGGTGTATTCAGCAAGAACTTACCGCTTCTAAATGTGATTAACGCGACGTATTATATCTGTACAAATGTAAATCAACAGAAATTACAAGACTCCGATCGTCGTCGAGGGAAAGAAAAATTGTGCCTGCCAACGGCGTACTACACGCGTGAAGGTCTAAAGTCGGTATAAAGAGAAAAGAACGGATCCATTTGTAGCTATATCCCCTCCCCCCCCCCCCTTCATTGGTGATGGAAAATAGCAGTTTTTTTTTTTTCTAAAGTACTTCACGTGTACATTGCATGCAACATTCTTTTTCTTTCTCTAATGATATATAAAGCAGTTCGTACAAAAAATAGCGTCCTGCTTTGTGTAATCACATGATCACGCATAATTGTCAAATTAAATAAGATCGTATATAGACAAAAGTAAAATTGCACATTTAATGCGCCGTTCGCTGTGGTATCTTAATTCTCTACCTCCCGAAATATGTATATATCAATCGTCAATCTTTCGTAAGGCCAATCATTCTTTTTTTTTTCTTTTTTTTTTCTTTTATCGTAAAGAATATAGCTTTTCGCTTTCGTTGGAAAAGATCAGCAACGGAAAATAATATTCTCAAAAAAGAGAGCATATAGCATTTCAGGTAACGTTTAAAAAGTAGGATGTACCGTCTCCTCTGCGTATCTTCCCATTTTCTCGAATGGCACGCTCTCTCGTCAGACATAGGCCACAATGTGTAAAGAGAACATATACATATATGCTATATTACAGAGTCAAAGCTTTCAAAGTCGCGGAGTCCGACGGAACAGTCGGACGTGCGACATCGCCATCGAATCGAGCGTATATATATATAAACGAAGAAATAAGCTGTCGCCATTCAAGATAACCGAAGGGACATCGTGACGTTGGCACATTTTTAACTATTTTTTTTATCTCTCTTTCTGTGATTATTCTCTTTACGGCGCCAAGTGTGCGACGGCAACGGTGCGTGAATCGTCTCTCGATTATCATACATATATTTATTACAGTATAGAGATAGTTTCTTCGGTACTTTGTTACTTCTCTGCGGTGGTAAGGAATCAGGCCGAAATCAGACTACGCATTAAAAATTGAAATTGAAGATTGAAAGATTGAAATTTGGCCAATCAAAATAATAGGAGCTAAGATTCCTTTATTCTCATTGGTCAAATTTCAATTTTTTTAATCTTCAGTCTCAATCATCGATGCGTAGTCTGATTCTGGCCTCAGACGCGTTCAATACGCGTTGAAGTTGGAGATTAAAGATTGAAATTTGGCCAATCAAAATAATAGGAGCTAAGATTCCTTTATTCTCATTGGTCAAATTTCAATTTTTTTAATCTTCAATCTCAATCATCGATGCGTAGTCTGATTCCGGCCTCAGATGCATTCAATACGCGTTGAAGATTGGAGATGAAAGATTGAAAGATTGAAATTTGGCCAATCAAAGTAATAGGAGCTAAGATTGCTTTATTCTCATTGGTCAAATTTCAATTTTTTTAATCTTCAATCTCAATCATCGATGCGTAGTCTGATTCCGGCCTCAGATGCATTCAATACGCGTTGAAGATTGGAGATGAAAGATTGAAAGATTGAAATTTGGCCAATCAAAGTAATAGGAGCTAAGATTCCTTTATTCTCATTGGTCAAATTTCAATTTTTTTAATCTTCAATCTCAATCATCGATGCGTAGTCTGATTCCGGCCTCAGATGCATTCAATACGCGTTGAAGATTGGAGATGAAAGATTGAAAGATTGAAATTTGGCCAATCAAAGTAATAGGAGCTAAGATTCCTTTATTCTCATTGGTCAAATTTCAATTTTTTTAATCTTCAATCTCAATCATCGATGCGTAGTCTGATTCCGGCCTCAGATGCATTCAATACGCGTTGAAGATTGGAGATGAAAGATTGAAAGATTGAAATTTGGCCAATCAAAGTAATAGGAGCTAAGATTGCTTTATTCTCATTGGTCAAATTTCAATTTTTTTAATCTTCAATCTCAATCATCGATGCGTAGTCTGATTCCGGCCTCAGATGCATTCAATACGCGTTGAAGATTGGAGATGAAAGATTGAAAGATTGAAATTTGGCCAATCAAAGTAATAGGAGCTAAGATTCCTTTATTCTCATTGGTCAAATTTCAATTTTTTTAATCTTCAATCTCAATCGATGCGTAGAGTCTGATTCCGGCCTGAGACGGCAAAATTTGTCTCCCCGGGAGACGATCGCCGAGTGAAATCCCGTACGTTTAATTGTGTTTTCTAGCGTAACAATCGCAAGCAATCGTGTACAATGAGAAAAATACAGTAGGAAGATATATTAGTGTTGGGCATTAACGCACCGCGTTAATGTTACAAGTACGGTGCGCGACGCTCGCTTTCTATAGATAATATTTGAAATATTTCAGTAATAATAATAATATACGCGCGGATGCCGAAGGATCTACGGCTAAGGAGAACCTTCGACATCTCGCGTCTTTAGCACATATCACGCTGTACTTCTACATCGTTCTCGTTCTCGCTCTCTCACTCTATATGCACACTGCAGTCAGATTGGCCTTTGCATATTTAAAATTTTTTGTTTCGTTTAGATAAAGATTTCACTAACAATTCGTTCTCGTCGCTACTTAGAATCAGCTTATCTTTACATCACATTTATATAGTATTCCTGCCGATATGTGTTTGTTCACGTGGCACGGTACTTTGAATACAAGCTAAAGTTTTCCCGATCTCGAGATCTCTCCCGTTTCTTTCCATTCTTTTTTTTTTCTATTTTCCCTTAGAATTTTCATCAGAGCCATCGCAACGTGTTTAATTAGCGTAAAACGAATGTTTTCCTAGCGAATTTCTCTCTTATTAGATGACATGATGTTGATTACACGCGAAAGCACTTTTAGCACGGAAATTGAATGAGCGCAGGGGTGTTTACTCGAACGACTGTTACTGCACGGTTAAAATAATATTCTATTTGAGCTACTATAATGAGAGAAGTACGTATAACATATATCCGCTAGAATTTTCAATCCCTCGCGCACACTAACGTGCGTTTTGCAGATCGCTGTATGTACGGTAAGTCTCTCATAAGTATGTCCACTTTGAGCACTTCAAATGTCTATGAGCCTTTTAATAATAAAAAAAAAAACCTTATCTTGCGCGCGCGATGCAACGAATATTCGAACACGTC